TCTCCTGCCAAAAAGGCGAAAGCAATTACAGGCCCTGATATGAAACACAGATGTTAATACATTTGGAACACCGGCCTCCTATAGGAACACAGGCGTACCTCCTGTTTGGAATGCTTTTGGAATTAAAATGCAGGACCAAGTCATAGACAAGGCTCTATACTGAAAACCAGTCTCCCAACATGCATTCCAATGTCAAGAGCCCAGGGACTTGGGACATGAGCTGACATTTCTCCTGTTTGCAAATAGAAACCCATCTACCTTTGAGCAACGCACTGCGCATAAGCTCGAAATAATATAATTATCATCAGAGGGAAACTTCCATAGGATCGAAAAGTATTATAATTATGGGCAATTTTCACTTTTTGGAAATTGGGCTCAGATGCTGAAGGGGGATTACACACAAGCTGGTCCTGGGTTTCAGTTCTATAAGAGAGAGAAAATGCTGGAAAGTTCTGGAAGGATGGAGAACAAGAGGCAAGTGTTCTTTGCTTTGTACTCATTCACCCAGCAGATAGTTGTTGCAGGCTCACCTGTGTGCCAGGTTCCACAGTGGAACACCAGAGTCTGTGTTTGGGATGCCCACTTTCTAAGGGACAAGCCAAGTCATTCTTTCCTCCATTCATGCAACAAATGTTCTGCTTACTGTCTGTATGTGCCATGTGCAGGTGTCAGCAGAAAGATGCAGCAGTAAGCAAAACAGAGGAAGTGCCCTCCCTCATGGAGCACTGTCCCTGCCTCTACCACGGGGCAATATCACAGTTCCCACTTGAATGTTTTCTAAAAGCCAGAGGAGGCTTGGCAGGGGAAAGTGACATTCCAACTTCATGAAACTTCTAAATGGTAGAACGAGAAAAGCAGACCCCTCATCTCCCAGAAGAGGTATCCTCAAAAAGACAAGGCATTTGACAGTCTGGGTGACAATCTGGCTACACTGATTAGGACCCATAGGGAATGCCTTTACAAGGGCTGGCCGCTTTGTTGGGGCTTTTACTCAACTTGACCTTCACGGGCCTTACTTGGGTCCATGCAGAGTGGTCAGGAAGGAGGGAGTCTCACAATTACTACTTGTCATCATATTCATTCTCATGTTTATTCTCTACAGCCAAAAGGTGTCTAGGTTCACATCTACTTATCTGGGGAAGTCCTACACTTCTCCCCAGCAGGACCCACCCCACCAGATCCTGAGGGGGGCAGAAGTCTTCACCCCAGTGAAAGGATGTGGCGAAGAAACTCAGTCATGGTCACTTCAGAGCCTCAGGGAGCAGGACAGAAGCCAGGGCCACATGGAGAAAAGTGTCCACAATCGGCTAAACCAGAACCAGTGACAGATTTTACATAAGTATTCCCTGGGTTTGAGTCCACCTCTGTTGGTTACCCAGCATCCCTTCTCAATTACTAACCAAATGGTTGGTGGTTTGAACACCCCACTCCCACCCCACCCCCCCAGAGCTGCCTCAGAAGAAAAACTGCATCTGAGAGCCTTGGAACCCTTAAAACGTCCAGTTCTATTCTGCACACACGGAGACACCGTCAAGCTTGGCAGCAACTGGTTTAAGTTTTTTAAAGTTTTCCCGGTCAGTTACAGTGTGTGAGCTTGGGTACTTCATTGCGAGACTACAGACTTCGGAAGGTGATTATGAGAAAGGATTCCTGCAACCTGCCTGCCACGCGCTAGGCCTCTGCTATTGCACAAGCTCAACTCACAGAATCTGAAGTAGCTGATGACTGCCTGACCCCCACTCACCCTCCCTGCAGAATCAGGCACCAAGATCAAACCATCTGCACAGCCCAATGGCTGACCTGGGACAGGAGGCCAGAGCTCTCCAGGCTGAGTGAAAACACTGATGTGGAATAAGCCCCCTAGGACACTAACAGGAAAGTGGGCTCCCCTGCTGGGTCCAAGTGCCTCGGAGTGTTATCTGGAACAGGGCCGAGGGAGACGGTGTTGCTCTCCAACCTTCCCAGACATATCTGACACCAAGTTGTCCCTCCTCATTCTCTGAAAAGGCTACTCGAGAGATGAACCAGCAAATCCTGAGAGGTCTGCTCAGCAACCAAGAGGGGCTGAAATGTAGCAGGGAGGACTGGAAGCCAGGTCTGAGGGACACAGACCAGCAGGATGCACGCGGCACCATACACGTTCTGCCAAGCAAGTACAAAGAGCTCACAGGGGTGGGCAGTGTCTGCGGAGGAACCCCGAGTCCCCGCCCCGGGCAGTACCAGGATGGGGAGCTGAAAGAAGCTGGCAATGATGCCTCACCCTTCTGCTCCTCACCATACCCTGCTCCCTGTGCCGGCATTGACCATTTTCATCCCATAACAATAACATCTTGACCTTGGCAATGGAGTGATCCCTTGGAGGCTGGTTCTGCCACACCCTTTCATCTGGCTACACTGGCTGGCCTCTGATCTCCCAGCTGGGAAAAAGTCAGACTTCAGAGAGATGAAGTGGAGTGGGTGGGGACAGGCTAGGAGGAGAGAGACCCAGGGGACAGAAATGCCTAGTCCCAGAGTAAACCATGAAGCAGGTTAACCCTTGCTCACTTTCTGGAAATCTCTGGATGTGCAAATGTGTTCCAGAGGCACCTCGGAAGAAAGTCCTGGCAATCCACTTCCAAAAAAACAGACACTAGAAACCCTATGGAGCACAGTTCTACTCTGACAACACAGAATCACCACAAGCCAGAATCCGCTCCATAGCGGATGTGTGTTTTGTTTTGTTTTTGCATGTAGAAGCAAGTTGGTCCTAGTATACTATTCTGAGTTGAGAAAGGCCAGTGGTTAAAGGCCTGACTTTGAATTCCATCTCCATCATCACAGCTGTGGTACATGCTCGAGACCTCATCTATAAAATGGGGATAATAATCCACTTTCCCACCCAGCCCTGCATGAGGATAAAGGAGGTTTACAGGCTTAGAACAGAGTCTAGTCTGTCTGGCTCAAAACAGGCTTAACTAATGCCATCATCCTGGTGTGGTGCTGTAAGATAAGCACTGGACTGCTAACCATAAGGTCAGTGGTTCAAACCCACCAGCTATTCCTCGGAAACTATATGCAGGGTACAGGGTTGCTACGAGTCAGAATCAACTCAACAACATCATCATAGCGTAGTGCATTAGGCACCTGAAACCTGGTTGTTAACCACAAGGTCAGCAGTTCAAATTCACCAGCTGCTCCAAAAGAGAAAGATGACGCTCTTGGCGCTCATAAAGATTTACAGTCTCGGAAACCCTACATAAGCACACTATGAGTTGGAATCTTCTTGATGGCAGTGGGTTGCTTTGGGGTTAACACCAGCATCAAGGAGCCATGGTGGCACAGTGGTTAAGCACTCAACTGCTCACTGAAAGGCTGGTAGTTCAAACCCACCATTCGCTCTGCAGGAGAAAGATGTGACCTTGGAAACCGTTTGGGGCAGTTCTGCTCTGTCCTTCTTGGAGAAGCTCTAGGAGTTGGAATTGATTTGACTGCAGTAGCCTTAGTTTCGTGGTTAGATCATCATCATCAACAAAGCAAGGAGGTGGGGATGGGGTGTGGGGGGGAAACAGAGCATCTCAGATGCCTGGGGAGGAAGCTGCAGGTTTAAGTGCTGTCTCTGTCTGCTTCAGCTGGGCTAACTCCCTACAGCAGGAACAAAGGCCCCAGCTTGGACTCTCTAATATCCTGAGGCTTCCTTCCAACTAGCTCACCTGTTAGAGGAAAAGGGACCCCACAGACCCGCACAGCCTGAGCTGCCTGCCCACCCCCTCCAACTGTGGTGCAGCCGTCCAGCTCCCTGAGCTGGCTGCCCAGCTGTGCAGAGCAGAACATCTGGCTCTCAGGCTCCAGGGAAGCCCCAGGGGTGCCGGGATTAGCATCTTGGGTCAGCCCCAGTGTCTCTCCCTCGTGGGAGTCGTTCTCTGTCGAGTTCTCTTGATCTCCTGGAATCCAGATGAAATTCCAATAATGCGCCCGCTGGAGGCCTTCCACGCGGCCCTGGCCCTCGGCTCTGCTTTAAGGGGGCCCCAGACAGCAGAACGAGGTGGACAGACGTGGGCAGCCCGCCCTGATCGCTGCAGAGGTTCAAAGTCTGGAACAACCACCCTGGAGCTCAGAGCATCAGCGGGAAGGGCCAAAGAATCAAGGCTGGCCCTGGTTTTAGAACCCTGGGTCTACAGCAAGCTGCTTGAGACCTGGCCTCTAGGAGCTGAATGTGCTGTCCCCGGTGGCTCAAACTCCAGGTCCAGTTGAAGGGAAACCAGTTGATAACCCAAAAAGTGGTAGATACCCGTTCCTGCTGTCTCTCTGCTAACCAGTAACTCATCCACCACGATCCACCCAGAAATGGACCAACGGCCATCCTCAAATCATGGGAGACCCCGAGTCAGACAGGAAGGTGAAACCTAGTCAAAACCTGCAGGGTGACACCCCCTTCACGCTAAGTAAGCACAGAAGTCGCTCAGCACCCAAGCATCAGCATTCTGTCTTCCACAACTCACACTTGTCAGGCCCCTGAGACACTTCCCTCCCCTCCCCTTTGCTGCTCCCTCTTGTCACTCAAATGTGGCCAACTCAACAAGGCCATCGATGACCCTGTCACTCTGTCACCTACTGACCAGTCAGGACGTGTGGTGTGGCTACTTGCTTACTTGTTTCCTGTCGGTCTCCCTCACCTCCTAACAGAAATTTCACACACTGTCCCTGCTCTCAAACCCTGGGTAACAAACAACAGTAAGGGACCTCCCTGCCACTGCTGGGTGGAGAATCGCTGACCCATAAATCTCTTTGTGCTCTTTCCACACCCTGAACTCCTGGCCAGACACAGGCGGCCCACAAACCCCACTGGTTATGGCGACTACAACAATATAAAAAACGTAGACCACACGCCTTCTTGAAGATTAGGAGTACAGAGCGTGACACGTGGCTGGAGCTCCCCCGTCCAAGTCTGTCCATGTCTGCCCCCTTCCTGTCCTGCAGCTGAAGGAGGTCGAAGCCCTCCCAGGCACCCATGCAGCACCCACCTGCCCAAATGCTCCTGTAACACTTGATAAACACTGATCCGGAATGTCTCATTGTCAAAGCGTTCCCGAATGTAATCCTTGTAGATCCGGAACTCGGCTGCGGTCACGGCTTCTCCTTCTGGGATCTTGGAAAGGTCAAACCGGAACTCCCGGTGGTGGTAGCGTGGGTGGAAGAACTCCTTGTCGTGTTCCACTAGAGGGGAAAAAAAAACACACAGTGGTATTAGAGGTCCGGCAGGAACCCGTGTTCCATGTCTGATTCCTAGTTCAGAATTGGGCCAAAGCTGAATGGAGAGGCTGCCTGGCACACAAGGACATGCAGAAAGGGGCTCCAGCTCAGACCTCAGGGTCATCGTGTACAACGGAAACAAGTGGCTCCGTTTCTAACTTGCAGAGAGAAAGGTGGGGTCCTGGTCAGACTCAGGTTCCCTGGAGCTCAGACCTGAGCTAGGATCCAGGAGACATGAATCAGCGATGTGGCCCTGGTTGATGCACCAGGTGATCGATCCAGCCTTAATTTCCTCATCTACAAAATGGAATCATAATTTCCTTTCAGGAGCCCTAGTAGTGCAGCAGTTTAGCACTCAACAGGTCTGTAATTCAAACCCCCGGCAACTTCATGGAAAGAAAGATGAGAACATCCATTTCCAGAAAGATTTATAGCCTTGGAAACCCTAGGGGTAGCTTGACTCTCAGTGTCTATGACTTGGTATGGGTTGCTATAAGGGCTGACCGATTGATTCATCGGATAACTGACAGGAGTTAGGAGTCTTTGGGTGGTAAAAAGGGTGTTACAAAACACTTGGCTGCTAACCAAAAGGTCGGAGGTTCGAGTTCACCCACAGGTTGTTGTTAAGTGCCGTTGAGTGGGTTCTGACTCATAGTAACCCTGTATAGGGTTTCTGAGGAGCACCTGGTGGGCTTGAACCACTGATCTTGTGTTAGCAGTCCAGTGCTTATCCTACAATGCCACACTCCCACAGAAGAAAGATCTCACAATCTAATTCCAAAAAAAACAAGCCACTGGAAGGAAACTTTGTGGCATGCAGTTCTACTCTGAAACACCTAGAATGAGGACCAATCTTACACCCTTACTGCATCCATCATATGGTACACACTTTAGGACAGTGGGTATCAGCCTGCTGCACATGAAAATCACAGTGAGAACCGCTTATTACTGACATCCTGGGCCCAGTGGGAGGCTGGGAAATGTATAATAACCGGCTCTCTGGGGACTCATTTGTAGGGTCTGCCAATTCCCATGGTGTAAGCACTGCCTTCTTGCCAAATGTCAAGCAACTGAGCACAAAGTTGCGGTGAGAGGCAGGTGCCCGGTGTCCTGGCCCTGTGCCAAACCAAGTGGATCAATCCCTTTGGGGAGGGGCCCAGAAATCTGTACATGTAAAAGTGCTGCAGAAGTTTCAAGCACATTTAGACAAAAAGCAGGAAAAGGCTGAGTGGTGAGTTCAGGACAAACTAAAGCTGGGACGTTAGACTAAGGAATTCTCTCCAGGGCATAGAGGATGCATCCCAGACAGGCACAGTCCAGGAGCAGTGTGCCTGGGAGCAGGTGAGTATCCCAGGAAGCCTGCATCCTCTGAACCCACCAAATAAAGTGAGGCTGGAGCTAGGCTAGAGGCAGGTGACCAGGCTTAGGCAGCCAGCGTGCAATCTCCAGACACCTTTCATCTCCTTTGATCTCCCCTCATCTCCTGGGAGATACAGCCCGTCTTCACTTCCTGTCTGGGGGGTGGGACACACAGAGATAGGGCCAGATAAGAGAACCAGTTTGGCCAGGAGAGGGAAAATCTGTGTGAGGAGCTGACTGTCTCAGACTGGGTTAGGGTGGCCAGGCAGAGATACTGGGCAGAACGAAGTCATCCTAAGGCACCTTCTCTGGTGTATAAAGAGCCTTCCCCAAAGTGCTGACTTTTTTGTTTGTTTTCAATTCTATTTTAAATGTGTGAAAACATTTGAAAGAGACTGGCAGGGAGAGTGGGGCAGAAAGGCAGAAGTCCCTAAGGGCAAAGGCCCTGGGTGGCATAAAAGTGATCCTGTCTTGGGCAGACCCTTGGGGAAACGATCACTGACCCACAACTGGGTCATATCTGGGGAGCTGGGGGGGGGGGCAGGGAACTCCCCAGAAACGATTCCTCCACCCTCCCCACCATAGCTCCTACCCTCTCCCAACCAGTTTACAGGGAAGGCAGGAATGACTGGGAGGGAAGGGGGTGTCTCCACGCCTGTTTATAGAGATACAAGGGAGGGGTCTTCACCATCAGGTAACTAACTGGCTTAACCCTAAAGCTCACACTCTTCACACTGTAGCCAGAAGGTCTGAGTTCGAATCTCAGTGGTGCTACTTATCACATGTGTGACCTTGGCCAAGATACTTAACCTCATGAGTCAACCCTCCCTGGTCTGTACATCGGGGACAGATAATAACATCTAGAGGTGTTGGGATGACAGGAGTTGGCATTTCCACAGAGTCTGGTGTAATTCATGTCATTCATGTTTGCTGTTGTTACAGAGCCTTGAAAACAATGCCAGTTAGTACAGAAGTCACATGTGTCTTGTGTACTTCCACATGTCAGTTACAGAAGTCACATGTGTCTTGTGTAGTTACACATGTTGGTTACAGAAGTCACGTGTGTGCTGCGTACTTATGCATGTCAGTTATAGAAGTCATGCGTGTCTGTGTACTTACACATGCCCGTCACAGAAGTCACGTGTGTCTGTATGTACTTATACATGTCAGTCACAGAAGTCACGTGTGTCTCTGTGTACTTACACATGCCCGTCACAGAAGTCACGTGTGTCTGTGTGTACTTACACAGGTCAGTTACAGAAGTCATGTGTCTGTGTGTACTTACACATGTCAGTTACAGAAGTCATGTGTGTCTGTGTGTACTTTCACATGTCAGTTACAGAAGTTACATGTGTCTGTGTGTACTCACATATGTCAGTTACAGAAGCCACATGTGTCTGTGTGTACTCACACATGTCAGTTACAGAAGTCATGTGTGTTTGTGTGTACTTACACATGTCAGTTGTTGTTAAATGCTGTTGAGTCCGTTCCGACCCATGGTGACCCTATACAGGGGTTCTGAGAAGCAGCTGGTGAGTTGAACCACCGACCTTACAGTCCAGCGTATTAACCCACAGTGTCAGTTATGGTCATTTTATTTGAAATTATTTAAAATGTGCACTAGGCCAAACAGTAAAGACATGGTTGACTAAGCATAACCTATTTACTGAAGGACAGAATCCCTCGTTGGTGTCAATTGTTCATGTACTCGGCTGCTGATGAAACATTGGAGTTCAAGTTCACCTAGGTGTCCCAGATGATCTACTTCCATAAAAAAAAAAAAAAAAAAGGATCACAGCTACATTCTGACATACATGAAGAATCCCTGAGTTGGGAGTCTACTCAACAACTCCTTTAAACACTGTTGTTTGTTGTTGTTAAGGGTCATTGAGTAGGTTCCATCTCATAACAACGCTGTATAAGGTTTCTGAGGAGTGGCTGGTGGATTTGAACCACCAGCTGCCTTGCAGTTAGCAGTCAAGTGCTTATCCTACAGAACCATACCAGGACCCTTGTTAACACTGTTGTGTTGTAAAATGCCACAGAGTCAGTTCTGACTCATAGTGACCTGTATAAGGTATCTTACAAGCATCTCTTGGGTGTGAACCACAACCTTGAGGTTAGCAGTTCAGTGCTTATCCTACAGCACCACATCAAGACTCCTTCCTGTTACCATTATAGCCTAGGGAATGTTACTGGGCAGTTCTGCTCTACCATAATGTGTTGCTTTGGGTCAGAACAGGTTAACCACGAGACAGTCATTAAAGTCATCTCCAATGGAAAAAGAAAACATTGATAGGTAATCACAAATAACACTGGTAACAGCAGGTGTTGTTGCTAAGTGCTATGGTGTCGGTTCCAACTCATAGCAACCCTGTATAGGGTTTCTGAGGAGCAGCTGGAGGATTTGAACCGCTGACCTTGAGGTTAGCAGTCTAGTGTTTTTCCTCCAGCACCAGCTGTGGCTCATTTTTTGCTTAAGAGAAAAGGTCTCTCGTCATTGTGAAGGCTATTAAGATATCAGAGTTTAAAAGTTCCTTAAAAAAAAAAAAAAAGTACAGCTAAGTGTTACAATGAACAACTCAATGTCTTGCCAACTCCAGGATAACTGCTGAAGCGAATTTCCCTCGTTAAATTCTTACATAAACCACGACACCGTTCAGTCTGTTCTTCCTGGCACCCACATCACTACATGCTCTGGAAATCCGTCTGTGAATTGTCAGAGAGGGCGCAGCCGGATTTCAATGAGCAGTGAATGATTTCAAGCCCAAACCTGAAGTTCAAATCAGTCTGCTCACTGGTTCCATTTTATGTGGAAGTTGCTCTAAGCTGCACAATGAATAAGAAAGACTGAAGAAGAAGGGATCCATTTGAACTACGACACTGGTGAAGAATACTGAATAGATCATGGCCTTTCTTGGAAGAAGTTCTCAGAATGGTTCTTTATAGGACGGTGAGACTTTGTCATGTACCTTGGCTGTGTTATCAGGAGTGACTGGTCCTTGGAGAAGGACATCATGGTTAGTAAAGTAGAGGGTTATCGAAAATAAGGAGTCCCTCAAGAAGATGAATTAACACAGAGGCTTCAACAATGGAATCAAATGTAGCAAGATTGGGAGGATGGTGCAGAGCTGGGCAGTGTTTCATTCTGTGGTTCACGGGATCGCTGTGGGTCAGAACCAACACATCGGCACATAAATAACTACACTCCACAGTATGGTACCTCTGCCATGTTGGCCACGAGGGTCAAGGTGACTGATAAAGTAGATAGAAAAAAATCCTAGTGGTGCAATGAATGGTGTTAACAGAAAGGTTGGCGATTCGAATCCACTTAGTGGATCCTTAGGAGCAAAGACCTGACAATCAGTTCGCATAAACTTTACAGCCACAGAATCTCTTTTTTGGGCAGTTGTTACAAATCGGGCTGCTAATCTCAAGGTCGGCAGTTTGAAACTACCAGCTGTCCCACGGGAGAAAGATGAGGCTTTCTGCTCCCGTAAAGATTTACAGCCTCGGAAACCCTGTACAGGGTCGCTATGAGTCAGAACCGACTCCACGGTACTTAACAACAAGTCTGTCATACAGAAGGAGCTCTGGTAGTGTAG